ATCTCCAGAGAATCTTTCTGGTGTAGGGACCCTTGGCTCGGGAGGTAACATCATCACTGCAGGAGGAACTATGTTTCCTGGGGTAGCAGCGGGAGCAGGAGCTGCTACCGGCCTATCAGACAATGCAGGTGCAAGTAAGGTCTGAAGGCGGTTCTCCAGCCGGGTGTATCCTTCTTGAAGATCCTTGACAGCCTGTGTTAGTGCCGAGATGTGATGACAAATCTCATCTAGAGGAGAGGCCCCTTTCTCATGCTCTGACATGACCTTCTGGTACTGTAAGGTACCTGGTGGTGGAGCGTGGTGTGGAGAGAGGGGCGTCCTCCTACCACTCCCGTTCGGGACCCCTGATAGGGTAGACAGGAAGTAACGAGCTGGGAGTGGCACGAGTGCCTGACGGGTCTGCGGTGACAGCTGGCAGGTGAAGACCCGGAATACCAGGATGCAGGTAGCAGGATGCAGGTGAGCAGGTGTAGCTGAGATGCAGATGACCATGTCAGCTGGTAGCCAAGGATAGTCACAGGCAGTGTAGAATAGTCGGGCAGGCCGGGTCATTATCGATCGGACAGATCAGGTACAGAGGAGTAGGCAAGCAGATAGTCAAAGGAGAGCCAGGTCAGTGCAGGTGGAGTTCAATCGTCGTCAGTCAAGCAAGTGGATCACAGGAGTCGGGATACAGGAAACAGGAAGTAGTAGACCAGAAGGCACCATTCTGTTTGTAGCAGGGGTTGAAATAGCCCATCTGTGCACGTCAGCACGTGCACGTGTTCACAGCTGCGACATTCTTCATCCCTGACAAATGGATACTAAATCTAATTGCAAGAGCTTACATTCTCAGCGAATAATGTCCTTCTGTGCTTTTACATGCCCATTACACCACTTCAGTGGGAGTTTCCTGGGCATTTCGGCACCAAGCATCTGTAACCTAGTTGTGCTGCCATGAATTTCTGTTCATAACTTTACTTTAAATTTTACAAGGTTGACATCTGGTTTTCTGCTAATGTAGGCCAAAAGTTTTTTAAAAAAGCTCTCTGAAGTCTGGTCTTCTGACCCTTGTTTGCACAGTTCTGTTTGCCTCATTGTTGCCCACCTTTCCTGTTCACTGCTTGGAGATTTCCAGTGGTGTATGGATATTTTGCCTGTGCCCTATACAGTAAGTCCCTGACTTACGAACGAGTTCCATTCCGGGAGAATGTTCATAAACTGGATTCGTTCGTAAGTACGATAAAGCGATCCTTATACACCTTTGACACAAATATACAATGTAAAGCATAAAAAAACAAACGCCCACAAAAATACTGTAAATAAACTATTTTTACTTTTGAAGTTTCCTTAAAAAGGTGGTACAGTATAGTACAACTGTAAATAAACTATTTTTGCTTTTACAGTTACTGTACCTTAAAATGGTACAGTACAACTGTAAATAAAATGGGAGTATCCTCCTGCGCTCTATATATATAAAAATCCCCTATAATATCCCTATAATGATAGCTGCTATCACTCAACTAAACCATTAAGTGATCAAAGTGTTAACATAAAATAGTGAAGCGCTATATATTTATTACCAATAAAATACTGAAGTACCTATTATAAACTAACTACTAGTGCTCTGTGAAAAAAAGCTTATATACATATATACATTAGTGCATTTTGCACAATCTTAAAGTAAAATAGTGTTGACAACAAACTCATATATATATTTATGCATCAGTGCTTATTTACACAATCTTAAAGTGAAACAGTGATCGCAACAATGCCATGTGCAAAAATGTAATATTCGATCAAATTATGTTATCGTATAATGTGAATCACACAAATATAAGAACACCATCAGTGAATAATCAAAAATAAAGAATAATAAAGCATTCATGCAAGTGAAACTTCGGGGACAAAGTGATCTTCACTTCTAGTGCACAAATGCCTACTTTGAAGCAGGGTGAGGGTCAATCCAGCGTTGGGCTGGTTACTTCGGCAGGTACAGGAACTTCAAAGGTACCATAATTCCGTCCGTACAGAGATATTGATGGACATGATGCTCAAATGGCAGCAATGCCTGCTTACCTCCCAACACTGACCCACACAGGGCCAAAAGGCTATTACTCTCCTCTGTATCAGATCCTCATACGTAGATAGCTTATCCAGGGATCACAGGAAAATAGGAGACTTCTCTATTTCACTCCACCTCCACTCAATGTTATATAAGACACAAGAGCAATCCTTCCATAGTGCAATAACGTTTAATAAGGACAACATGAGAAACAAAAATTGCACTCACATATCTTTGTTATTGTATCAGCTTTCCACCCCATCCCATGGGTGTATTGCATGAACCTGGGGGACACCAATATGGCCGCTGCGTCCGGACGTGCGTCACCACGTGACCGGAAATGACGTTACGTCGGTACGCCATATCCGGTTCCAAGTAACGTCATTTCCGGTCACGTGGTGACGCACGTTCGGACGCACTATTTTATGTTAACACAACTGTAAATAAACTTTTTTTGCTTTTACAGTTACCTAAAATGGTGGTACAGTACAATACAATACCACAACTGGCATATAGTGGAAGAGAGTTACTAACTGGAGGAGGGAGGGTAGGTGGGGAGAGGGTGGAGCTGAAGGATCATCAGCAATAGGAGATGGGGGGCAAGGTGGAATTTGGCCCACACCTGATATTGGCAGAGCTGAAGGATCATCAGCAATAGGAGATGGAGGACAAGATGGAATTTCACTCACACCTGATGTTGATGACACTGTTTTTTTGATGGATTCAATTCTGTCTACCCTCTGGAAAAAATGATCCAGTAATGTCTGAGTAGTAGGTCTTTTTTTCTCATCATAGATGACTCTGTAGCACTGGATGGCATTCTGAACGGCTGCTGCAACCTTTGTGTATCATTCTACGTTGGGGTCCTGTGCCTCAAAAACTAACAGTGCCTCTTCAAGTAAAGAAAATCCCCTTGCCATTTCCTGTGTTGTGAATCTCTTTGGTTCTTTAGTTACATCTTCCGCTTTGCTCTCTTCGTCTTTTCGCTGGGCCTCTAATTCCATTAGGTCCTCATTAGTAAGCTAATCATGTTGCACAGCAAGGAGTTCAATGAAGTTGTCTTCTTGCAGATCTAGCTCCAGGTTCGTGCTAAGGATCACTAAGTTGTTGAAGACCTCTTTGAACTCCTTACCCATCTTCTCAAGTCCATGAACTTCATGAACAAACTGCGGGCAAAGGTTCTTCCAAACCCCATTCATGATGACAGCCGGAACCTCAGGCCAAGCAAAGTTGATGTTTTTTATGACCTTGTAGATGTTATAGACCTTCCAAAATTGTTGCAAGGTTGTTCTGGTTTCATCAATAGCCTTCACTGCCTGATGAAATGCGTGACGTAAATATTATTTAATGAAAGTCGCAATAACTCCTTGGTCCATAGGTTGGATGAACACCACAGTATTCGGTAGCAGATGCACTACTTTGACGTTGGGATGAAAGTCATCCATGAATTAGTGGTGACCTGGTGCATTGTCAAGCAGCAAAAGAATGTTGAATGGCATATCTTTCTCTAAACAATATTTCTCTATCTCTGGGATAAAGTGGTGGAAAAACCAGTCCTTGAAAATGGCCTGTGTAACCCAGACTTTGAAGTTATTCTTCCACACAACAGGTAGCGAGCCCTTGGCTATGTTTTTGAGGGCTCTTGGGTTCTCTGAATGGTAAACTAAGAGAGACTTTAATTTCATATCACCGGAAGCATTGCCAGCAAACAACAGAGTAAGTCTGTCCTTTGCTGCTTTGAAGCCTGGCATCACCTTTTCCTCTTTACTGATGTAACTTCGTTCTGGCATCCTCTTCCAGTACAGTCCTGCCTCATCGATGTTAAAAACCTGTTAGAGAAATTATTGATGAAGGTGTTTATTTACCCCAAGTGTTGCTGGAAATTCTTGGGCAGCTATGGTATCTGCACTCGCAGCCTCACCACTTACTTTTACGTTGCGATGGTTGGCTCTAGCCTTGAATCTGTTAAACCATCCATGGCTGGTAGTAAAAGATGCACACTGTTCACCTAATTTTTTCTTCAAGACTTCAAACAGACTTTTAGCTTTTTCTTGAATAAGCATTAAGCGGAGTGAGACTCCACGCTGATGCTGATCCTGCATCCACACATTGAGAAGTTTCTCCATCTCCTCTATCACTTTACCACGCTTTTTGGATATTATTGTTGACTTCATATGCACAGCAGACTTCAAATGTTCCATGATCTTGGCCTTGTTCTTTAGAATTGTGCCAATGGTTGAACGATTCATGTTATGAGAACGAGTGATGTCTACCATCTTTTCGCCTCGGTCCAATTTCTCAATTATTTTCAATTTGTTTCCGTGGTTATTGCTTTGCACTTCCTAGCAGTCCCCTCCACATCACCACTGCTTTTCCTCTTGCTTCCAGACATCCTGGGCTCTGTACAGTTCATTATCGCACTGTACTGTACAGTAATCACACATCAGCACAGCTGTGACAATGTCTGGCAGACACGTAAGCTACTTCTGGCGTTTTGTTCGCATCTATGAATGTTCGTAATGTGAGATACATCTGTATCTGTGAAAGTTCGCAACTCGAATGTTCGTAAGTCAGAGACTTACTGTACTGTATGAATAGGATACTAAGAATTTTGACTTACCTGTAAATTCCTTATCTTGGCATACAATACAGAACACAGGACATCCTCCCTTCCATCTCTGGCTTTACTCTTCATTGTTTGCTATAAAACTGAGGACTCATGGAGTACAGTCATGTTTTATAGGGAAAGTGTCCTCTAAAGTTTTGACAGTGTCCAGTCATTTGAAGGTACATTCCTTTAACCTATGGTGTATGAAAATTCTGCCTGTGTCCTGTACTATACTTCAATATACTGTATATATGGAATTAACAGGTAATTCAAGATACCTCTTTTTCTACACAGTGCTGGCATCATTACATGTGTGTACTGTATTCATTTTGGGTGTTTGTCTTGCAGGAGATATGTCTCTCTGACCCTCCTGTAGTGATGACTTTAGTTGATGGTCCAACTGGTGACAATGACAATATGATCTGTGTGGCGTATCGACACCAGTTTGATCTGGTAAATGAAAGTACTGGGGAATCGTGCCGACTGCATCATGTTGATGCGAGTAGGGTAAGTTACCCAGCTTGTGTTATACTGTATAGGTGAAAAGCACCTTAGATACATGGAGGGGGTATACTGTATGCACCTTGCATATATGGAGGGGGTATATGCCCCTTGGACACGTGGAGGGTTAAGTGGTGAATTTGCTTCTTGGTTATTTGGAGATTGGGGGAAAAGAATTGCTTCTCAGATACATAGTAACGTAAGAATGAATTCCCTACTGGGTATACGCAGTGCCAAACTTATTATAACAGTGTCTAAGCAGTAACTTTAGGTGAATTTGCCTAATTAGCAACGAATATTACGGAAAAGCCTGTCGTCATTATTTAATACCCACTGGGCACTGGGAAGCCACCCTTGTCTTATGTGGATAGAAAGGTCATGGAATGACTGAACACATGGATATATTTTTCTCTGGCATGCATGAATGTGTGACAATGCAACCAGTCAGATTTCATGGCCAGGTCAATATATGTACAGTTCTATGTCAGTTTTTTTCTTTTCATTAAAGCAAGATATATGGAAAACCCATCCAAAATGTCCAGCTAGTCTTCCACATTATCATTCCAGGTTCATTTTGTTGCAGCAATTGATGTATATGAAGATGGAGAAGCCGGATTACTGCTCTGCTACAACTGTGAGTGATTGGGGGCAATTAATAGAAGTGTTCTGTGATTGGGGGCAATGTATAGAGCTGAGCTGTTAAGGATGAAGATTCATAGAGGTGTTCTGTGACTAGATACAGTTTATGTTAGGGTTAAGACTTTCAGTTGAGCAATTCAGATTTTTTAGACAAGCTTTAGAGCTGGAGTGGAGCTGAAATTAGAAAATGTTACATATGAATTTATCATCCTACTATTTTCATATATGAGAATACCTCAAAAAATGCCTCCCCTCATTTGCATTGATGGGAACTCTTTGGATTTAGTACACCAATTCTAATAGGTATTATTTTTTGTACTGATGTCTGCATCCTTGTTAGCTATTCAGTTCTCCATTACAATTGAGTATAGAGTGTCATGTTTGTTCAAAAACACCCTTCTGATATATACAGTCTTGCAATCCACTATTTCTCTCTTCTGCCTGTAGATATGACAGAGTTTGGTCATATTGCAGTATTTCTGGATCTTCAGCTGGCATCTAGTGCAATTTGTCATCTCTGTGTGGGAGGAGAAATGTGTATTTGTATTAAAGCAGATTCTCAGTGTGTAATTAACAGTGAGTACCCAAAACACAAGATGTCACAATAATCCTACTCAGTCAGTGATGGGGTGACACCACAGAACAATAATGGAGCATCTGTCGTCTCTCTGGTGATGTAACTGAAAAGAGCGTATGTGGAGGACAAGATAATTCCTCAGACACATTTATACATTCTATTATTATGTATATTTATACAGTAGAGATATGTATCGCACACTGATGTCACTTTCTCTCTTTTCAGACATCTGTTGCTACAAGAAAGTCACTCCGTTCAATGGAGGAACTCCACTCATCCAGCCGTCTGCGTCTGATTTCCATTTTAGCTGGAATCAGGTTCCCAATGCTGTTGGTGAGGCTACACTCACATATACTGCAAAAACTGTGGATCTGTGGGATATCTGTTGGCCATTTCAGTCACTTAGAGCCATTGTTTGAAGGCCTCTTTCTGCTTCTGCTTGTAAGACCCCACCTAAAGCCAGAGGTGTTGTTGTTGCTTGGCACTTGTTTTGGCACAGTGGATCTCATATTGTGAAAGCACACAGGTGAAATTTTTGGAAGAAGATATTTCAGTAGATTGGGGGAGGGGTGAGAGGAGTATAGCTATGTGATAGGGGAGTAATCAGGATGGTATAGGTAAGTTCATGGGAAGCGTCAGGACAGTATAGGTAGGATTATAGTGTGGTATGGGTCAAGGGAGTACAGGTAGATGGTGGGGAAAGCATCAAAAGAGTATGGATAGATGGTAGGGGAAGGTTCAGGTGGAAACAGGTGCAGAAAGGGATATGATCAGATGAGAACAGGTGGTGGAGGGGGGCAGGCTCAGGAGAGTACAAATGATAGACAGAATTACATTTTATATTTATGAATGTCTTGTTATGTTCTCTGTTGACTGTGAAGATCCGAGTAACCTAGACATCTCTAGACATAATCTGTCTTTTGTCTGTCCGATAGTATGCGCTTTCCCCTACATCCTGGCCTTCACTACTGACTCCATAGAGATCCGGCTCGTTGTGAATGGCAACTTGGTGCACACGGCAGTGGTTCCAGAGCTGCAGCTGGTGGCATCCCGGGTGAGCTGCGCTAGGGGAAATGGATGACGGGATGGGAGCTTGGTTACATTGCAGAATCCTGGCAGATGGGTGCGTGCGCAAAACAATAATTGATGGTGGGTGGGTGTGTAGGTAAAATAGGAACCACTGGTGGGTGGGTGCATAGGTAAAATAGGGACAATGTATGCCTAAGTAAAATATGGTTCATTGGCAAGTAGAGCATGTTTAACCAGTTGCAGACTCCTGCTAGACACACCCCAAAAAATGTCATCTTTGTACACAGGGCGTGTGTAACATGTCCAATCCTTCTGCCCTGCTGCCAGGACCTCCCCTATCCCAGTACTTGGCACTGTAGCTCTGATTAATCAAAGGGGCAGTGCACAGAGAAAGTCTGAACAGCTGGAGCTGTCAAATAAAAGCAGTCTGGTAATGTTTATCAACAACATTGCTCAAAAGAAACAATGTTTCATTTTGTATCTGTTTATCCATCTACAGATCAAAGGGGTGAACTTCGATCTGCAGATGAAGTCAGTTAAAGCAACCTGACCAGTAAAAAAAAGTTTTGTTTTCTTTAATTGAACGGTCCTCTGTTTAACCCCTTATTAACCCTTAGTTTACTCTAATCAACCCTAATTAACTCCTTATTCTCCTTCTCCATTCAATTAAGATTTTCCTGCTAGCTAGTTTCTATTTTATTAACTAATAATATGTAACCTTTTTTGTTTTTGTTTACTTTGTTTAATATTTTTACACCTTTAACATATATTTACAAATTTCACATTTAACCACTTCCCATCTGCCATGTAGCAGAAATACTGCTACAGGGCGGCACAAGGGCGCAAAATCACATGTATATATATGTGATTTTGCAGTTCTGGGTAGGGGGCTCGCGCCCTACCCATGCTGCCGTTCGCAGCCTCGGCTGTCAATCATTGGGTCCTGCCCAGGGATTACTCGCAGGTGCCTAGATTGTAAGCTCGAAAGAGCAGGGCCCTCGTACCCCTCGTGTATTGTTTTGTTACTGTATTGTTTCATGTTCTGTCCCCCACTATAATGTACAGCTCTGAACAAACCTTTCTGGCGCTATATAAATACTGTATAATAATAATAATAATTGCCGAGCATCTCCGGCGGGGGGGGGGGGGGGGGGGGGGGGGAGAACTGTTTGTAAACAATGCAGTTCTCTGTTCTGTCAGTTCCTGCACACTGCTTTGCATTGTGCTTACAGTGAAGCACACACACAGGACACAATGTAAAATGGCACACAGTTAACCCTTTGATCATCCCACATTAACCCCTTCCTGCCCAGTGCCATTAGTACAGTGTCAATGCTTTTTATTAGCACTGATCACTGTATTGGTGTCACTGGGGATGTCAGTGACACCAAGTCAGTTCCCCCCAGTGTGAGAATGCCTGCCGCAGTCTCGCTATAAGTCGCTGATCGCTGTCATTACTAGTAAAAAGAAAAAAAAATCCCAGTATATATACCGCCATTTGCAAACGCTATAACTTTCACATAAACCAATTAATTTACATGTATTGGGATTTTTTTTTTAGCAAAGACATGTAGCAGAATACAATTTGGCCTAAATTTATGACGAAATTTGATTTTTAAAATTTTTTTACTGGACATGTTTAATAGCAAAAAGTCAAAAATATTTTTTTTTTTTCTCAAAATTGTCAGTTTTTTTTTATAGCTCAAAAAATAAAAACCATAGGGGCGTAAAATACCACCAAAAGAAATCTCTATTTGTGGGAAAAAAACATGTAAATTTAATTTGGGCGCAACATTGCATGACCGCACAATTGTTAGTTAAAGTAAGGCAGCGCCGTAATGTAGAAAACAGCCTGGTCAGGAAGGGGGGTGAATCCTCTGGAGGGCAAGTGGTTAAAAAAGCGCAAAAATTAAAAAAAAAAAAAATTTATTTCATTTGTAAATAACTTTGCAATGCTTCGTACCAGATGCAGAATTTTAGTTAAAATTTTAAACAGGACAAATTACAGAATAAAATGTGCACTTATTTTGCGCAGTAACACTATTTATTTTTAAACTAACACTGCTCAAAAAGAGATAAAGTGTGTTTTGTTATGTTTTATTACGTTTAATTGTTTAAGGGTTGCAAAAAAAAATCATTGTTGGAAGACAGTATTCACAAAAAGCCTTGTTTGTCCTTAAAAGAACAATACATATATGATTTTTTTTATCTTAAATAATCACAAAGTTTTTGCAGAATAAACAGGGCCATAGCAGAAATGTAAAAATTGCTCTGGTCCATAGGGGGTGAGCAGGTGTGAGAGGCAAAGTGGTTAAAAACAAGGACAGATGTTGGGTGGGTGCCTTGGTTAAATGGGGACCAGCAGCTGGTGGGTGTGCGCATATTTGGCACTTCCAGTAGGTGGCTAAATCAAATATACAGGTGAAACTCGAAAAATTTGAATATCGTGCAAAAGTTCATTTATTTCAGTAATGCAACTTAAAAGGTGAAACTAATATATGAGATAGACTCATTACATGCAAAGCAAGATAGTTCAAGCCGTGATTTGTCATAATTGTGATGATTATGGCTTACAGCTCATGAAAACCCCAAATCCACAATCTCAGAAAATTAGAATATTGTGAAAAGGTGCAATGTTCTAGGCTCAAAGTGTCCCACTCTAATCAGTTAATTAAGCCATAACACCTGCAAAGGGTTCCTGAGCCTTTAAATGGTCTCTCAGTCTGGTTCAGTAGGAATCACAATCATGGGAAACACTGCTGACCTGACAGTTGTGCATAAAACCATCATTGACACCCTCCATAAGGAGGGAAAGCCTCAAAAAGTAATTGCAAAAGAAGTTGGATGTTCCCAAAGTGCTGTATCAAAGCACATTAATAGAAAGTTATGTGGAAGGGAAAAGTGTGGAAGAAAAAGGTGCACAAGCAGCAGGGATGACCGCAGCCTGGAGAGGATTGTCGGGAAAAGGCAATTCAAAAGTGTTTAGGACTTTCACAAGGAGTGGACTGAGGCTGGAGTCAGTGCATCAAGAACCACCACACACAGACGGATCCTGGACATGGGCTTCAAATGTCGTATTCCTCTTGTCAAGCCGCTCCTGAACAACAAACAATGTCAGAAGCGTCTTACCTGGGCTAAAGAAAAACAGACCTGGTCTGTTGCTCAGTGGTCCAAAGTCCTCTTTTCTGATGAGAGAAACCAAGGACCCAGAGTGTGGAGGAAGAATGAAGAGGCACACACTGCAAGATGCTTGAAGTCCAGTGTGAAGTTTCCACAGTCTGTGTTGATTTGGGGAGCCATGTCATCTGCTGGTGTTGGTCCACTGTGCTTCATTAAGTCCAGGGTCAACGCAGCCATCTACCAGGAGATTTTGGAGCACTTCATGCTTACTTCCACAGACGAGCTTTATGGGGATGCTGAATTCATTTTCCAGCCGGACTTGGCACCTGCCCACACTGCCAAAAGCACCAAAACCTTCTTCAATGACCGTGGGATTACTGTGCTTGATTGGCCAGCAAACTCGCCTGACCTGAACCCCATAAAGAATCTATGGGGCATTGCCAAGAGAAAGATGAGAGACATGAGACTGAACAACGCAGAAGAGCTGAAGGCCGCTATTGAAGCATCCTGGTCTTCCATAACACCTCAGCAGTGCCACAGGCTCATAGCTTCCATGCCACGCTGCATTGAGGCAGTAATTGCTGCAAAAGGGGTCCAAACCAAGTACTGAGTACATATGCATGCTTATACTTTTCAGAGGTCCGATATTGTTCTACAGTTGTGTTCAAAATAATAGCAGTCAGACATCACTAACCTGATCATTCACTGTTTTTGGTAGAAATTATATTTCTACATGGCAAATAATTTACTAGCAGGTGTAGTAGGGTAATAGAAATCCAACAGACCCAACAGTCATGACATGCATGCTGCTGATTCTGTGTAATTGAATCACTACTTGAAAGGGACATGTTCAAAATAATAGCAGTGTGGAGTTCTATTAGTGAGGTCATTCATTCTTTGAAAACAGGTGGCAATTATTGCCCTTATTTAAGGAAGGAAGGCAGCAAATGTTGTACATGCTGGTTACAGTGCATTTCTCTCTGAAATGCTGAGGAAAATGGGTCATTCCAGACATTGTTCAGAAGAACAGCTTACCTTGATTAAAAAGTTGATTGGAGAGGGGAAAACACATAAAGTGCAGAAAATGATATGCTGCTCAGCTAAAATTATCGCAAATGCTTTAAAATGGCAACCAAAACCTGAAAGACGTGGAAGAAAGCGAAAAACTACCAAAGGACTCAGCCAACAATCAGCTCCAGGAAGATCAAAGAAGGTCTAAAGTTACCTGTGAGTACTGTTACAATTAGAATACGCCTATGTGAAGCCAAGCTATCTGCAAGAAGCCCCCGCAAAGTCCCACTGTTGAAAAAAAAGACGTGCTGAAGAGGTTACAATTTGCCAAAGAGCACATTGACTGGGCTAAAGAGAAATGGCGCAACATGTTGTGGACTGATGAAAGTACGATTGTTCTTTTTGGGTCTAGTGGCTGGAGACAGTTTATCAGACGACCCCCAAACACTGAATTCAAGCCACAGTACACTGTGAAGACAGTGAAGCATGGTTGCACAAGCATCATGATATTGGGATGTTTCTCATACTACGGTGTTGGGCCTATTTATCGCATACCAGGGATCATGGATCAGTTTGAATACCTCAGAATACTTGAAGAGGTCATGCTGCCTTATGCTGAAGAGGAAATGCCCTTGAAATGGGTGTTCCAACAAGACAACTACCCCAAACACACCAGTAAACGTGCAACATCTTGGTTCCAGACCAACAAGATTGACGTTAGGGAGTGGCCAGCCCAATCCCCGGATCTTAATCCAATAGAAAACTTGTGGGGTGACATCAAAAATGCAGTTTCTGAGGCAAAACCAAGAAATAGAGAAGAACTGTGGAATGTAGTCCAATCATCCTGGGCTGGAATACCTGTTCACATGTGCCAGAAGTTGGTTGACTCCATGCAACACAGATGTACAGCAGTTCTCAGAAACTGTGCTTATACAACAAAATATTAATTAAGTGATTCAAAGGAAAGCAAAATCTTCAAACATTTTTCAGTTTATATAGTGAATGTTTGAGTTTGTAAAGAAGAATACAAACACTGCTAGTCTAATATTCACTTTTCTTAAATTTTTTAGAGGAACAACACAAATTTGATATATTTTTCTTCATGTTTTGATTTGGAATAGAATGTGTAGTGTTCCCAATGCATTTGTGTGTATTGAAATAAAAGCTATTAGAAGGATTTTGAGCTTTATTCACTTTTTTCAACACACTGGTATTATTTTGAACACAACTGTATGTACAATCCTTGTTTTATTGATTGCAGGTAATAATCTAATTCTCTGAGATTGTGGATTTGGGGTTTTCATGAGCTTTAAGCCATAATCATCACAATGATGACAAATCACGGCTTGAACTATCTTGCTTTACATGTAATGAGTCTATCTCATATATTAGTTTCACCTTTTAAGTTGCATTACTGAAATAAATGAACTTTTGCACGATATTCTAATTTTTCGAGTTTCACCTGTGTTGTATTAAACCCCCTTATGGGACTTTTTAGGCATTCAATGGCACAACTTATGATAAAAAAAAATCTCATGTACATTTTATTTATAGAATTTTATAAAAAGATGAAACGCTATCTTTTTTTAAAACAATTATGATAAAAAATCTCATGTACATTTTATTTATAGAATTGTTTTAAAAAGATAGCGTTTCATCTTTTTATAAAATTCTATAAATAAAAATGTACATGACATTTTTTTTTATCATAAGTTGTGCCATTGAATGCCTAAAAAGTCCCATAAGGAGGTTTAATACAATATATTTGATTCAGCAAATAAGGACATGGCATATGTTGGAGTGCATGCACAAAACTTTCAGTAGGTGGCTAAAACTGATCACTGTGTGGGTAACAGGTTGCAGTTAAAGTTTGGATGTTTTGCAGCAATTCCTCTATTAATTAACAATATTAATTATTTATTGATTTATAAATAATGTACAATTTCAGCAGTAATTAAGGCAAAAAATGGCATGGAAGCAGGCATTCCATGTCTGTGAGGCCTCCGGCATAGGGCTTGTGTGTTTCATGAAGAAGACAGCACTGGTTAAGGGTTTAGTATTATAGCATTGGGGCACTGTGTTCAATATACTCCAGGAACACTTTCTGCAATGAGTTTTCATTGTTGGTTAGGGTCTTCCTACAAGCCACATTAGGTTGCAAGAGCTTTCAGGGAAAGGATAAGTGTAAATGTTATCTGAAGAGTTCAGGAAGTGTTGGTTGATGCTTTACCATTGTGTCAGTGGGAAGTGTGCTGCCTGTGAATGTTAATATTCAGTCCCGAATGTGATAAAAACTGAATGTTTTCCTCCTTGCCTGCGCTATTCAGACATGTGTGTCCACAGGTAATTCTGCTCTGCTCACTGTGTTAGCGCTGATGAAAGCCTGTACCAAGAGAAACAGGGAGGCTGACACTATCAACTTCTTCTTTGGAAAATGCTAGTTTCCTGACTGTCATACTAATCAAAAGGCTTCAATACTTTAAGTCACTGAGGTACAACAAGTATAGAGATCAGGAGTTATGAGTGCACTGTTTTCAGAAAGTATTGATGCGAGAGACAGCCAGACAGCTAGCATTTTTTTGAAGGAGGACAGCAGTGACAGCTTCTGAAATTGTCTTAGCACAGGTTTCTTGCTGCTTCAGTGTTGTCTCCCCACCTCCCTGAAGTGAACTTGTGCTCTAAAATCATGAAATGTCACCCCGCTCTGTGGACCATGGAGTGCAGTACCCTGTAGCAACCAAGCACCTTTCATTGTTTTAATTGGTTGCTATGGTTTTCACCATGTCACTGGACTATCGCATTAAGGAATCTCAGTGTCCCCCTTCACAATGTCTTCTATGGAAACAGAAGTAACAAGTGTGTCTGTGTCTTCTCTCTCCAGTCAGATATCTATTTTAAGGCCTCAGCAGCAGTGAGCACCTCGTCAAATAGCAGCTCGAAGGACACAAGTTCGCACAGCTCGCCACAGACCCCGACCGGCTATGAACTGCCAGTTTTCCCTTCTTCACCAGCAGAAGGTAAACAATTGTATTCCCACTCTGTTCTGTGTGAAGAATACACAGATCTTTTATTTACCATCACGTTTTCATCTGACCCAGATGGCCACAGAAAAAAGGGAATTGTGAGTTAAAATAACCCCCCTCCAGAACCTTAGCACATCTGAACACTGCATTCTGGGAACATTGTCTTGTATGTCTATTATTTCAATGACCCTATATTTTTTAGCAGGACATCTTGTTAACTGATTTTTAATTGTGTGACAACATAATCTTCTAAACAATGAATGTTCTTTAAACCCCTATTAATAAAAACTAATAGAAAGTGAAAAGGGGACTTTTGACTTACCTGTAAGTTGAAATACAGTAAAGGACAAAGGACTGTAGCCATAGACCATGGGTTATATGCAGGCTACCTTCAGGTGACTGGACACTGGCAAAGGTTGGCAAAAAGCAGCCACTGCATGAGAGTGGATCATGGAAGGTTTTTTACCATAATGAAGAGAATGCATTAAGGCAAAAAATCCCTTATGCCTTTAGAACCACTTTAAATCACCTTGTGATCAAAGTTTGCATCAGCTGAGGTTTGAACATCTACCTGGTAAGGCCTAGAGAAGGTGTGAACAGAGGACCAGGTGGCAACCTTGCAGATCTGAGGTGCAAATGCTTGATGCTGGAAAACACAAGACGCCAACAGATCTAGTGGAATGAGCTCTGATATGCAAAGAAGGAACACTGTCCCTAAGGGCATAAGCTCTGAAATATGTTCTCTAAATCACAAGATGGAGCAGAAGGCAGGATGTGCTCTACAAGAGCCTGTAAGGAGGACAAAAATGGACTATGTTTTGTGAATAGAAGCTGTAACTTCTAGGTAGACCCTGACAGCATCTAAGCAGTGCAGGGAAATTTCTTTGGCATGTTGTGGAGCAGGACAGAGGGAGGGCAAGATAATATCCTCATTAAGGTGGAAAGAAGAAACCGTATTAGCATGAGCAACTTCCTGAAGAACAGTCTTGATTAAGGACTGTGAAGCAAGAGGTTTCTGGAAAAGAATGGATAAGCTAGAAACCTGTCCCTTGAGGTTACTTGGGGCTAGATGTTGCTTAAGAGCAGATTGACAAAGTCCAGACAAAGTGACCCTTCCAATTGCAATGGTAGATTATGAAGGATGTAGAGTTCCATGCTCTTAGTAATGAGTGGGGATGACTGAGTAAGATTTACCCCTATCTTTCAGGGCCTAGGTTTTAAAAACCTTGCAGGTAAAACATCAACTGAGAAGCAAGGTGGAATAGGGGACCTTGTGCCAGTAAACCTGGCCTGTTTAGAGTAGACCAAGGAGTCTGAGTATGTCTGTGTACCATGTCCTTCTGGGCCAATTTGGAGCGATTGGAATCACAAGAACTCTTTCCACTTTTATCTTTTGCAGCAGGCGTGGGAAAATCTTTACCAGAGGGAAGGCATAGATCAGCTTGATTGGAGTCTAAAGCTTCACCAGGGCATCTTCTGTGAAGGCTAGGGAACTGCTAGTCCTGCTTACAAATCTGTGCAGTTTGTTGTTGAACCTGGAAACCAGGATGTCCACATTTGGTTTCCCCCACTTCTGACAGAGATTGTGTAAGATCTCAGGCTGCAGAAACCATTTCCCCCAGTCTATGCATTGAACTGGAATGTGAATTTCTACCAAGGAGAAGATAACATTTGTTTCTATTAGAGCAGTTTGACTTCTGGTTCCACCCTCATGATCTATGTAGGACACTGTGGCATTGTCTGATTGTACCCTGACTGGGTGACCTTGCAGAGGGCGCTGTCCAGTGTTGTAGAGATAGTCTGGTGGTTCTCAGTTCCAGAATGTTGATGGGGAGTTTCCGTTATGTTGAATACCAGGTCCTCTGAAAAGTTAGAAAGTTGTAATTTCCCCCCAGACCAGTAAGGCTGGCATCTGTTGCCACCACTCACGTCATGGGAAGCAATAACTTTCCTGACTTAGGTGCAGAGTTGGAAATTCACCACACCAGGGAGGGAAATGGTCTGGCTTGATAGATACACAGGATGGACTAAAGAGTGGATTTGTTTGTTCCACTAGGTTAGAATGTTAGTTGAAGTGTCCTGGAGTGAAACTGGGCAAAAGGGACTGCCTCGAAGGAGGCTTAGAACCCTCATGCAGAACAAAGGGGTGCCTTTTGAACCTCAGGGTCTGCATGTGGGAACTTAAGGAGGTAGTCTTTTCTGAGTTGGGCTGTGTCCAAGATTAGACTCAGGTACTCCAGATGGAGGGCTAGGGAGCAGACTTTGGAAAGTCAATTAACTGGCCAAAGGTTTGAAAGAACTGAATAGTCCTTCAGATGTTGGCTTACAGTGTCAAGATGGAAGTGTCCTTCAGTAAAGCAAAAGGTCATCCAGATATCTTTTGACATGGTTGTCTTGGATCCACAGAAGATCAAGAAGCAGAGCAAGCACGTTTGTAAACACTTGGGGTGCAGAGGAGAGCATGAACAGTAGTGCTACAAATTGGAAGTGCTGGTCTCCCTTAGCAAAGCACGGAAAGCTTTGTGGAAGAAAGATGAGGAAATCTAGATAAGCATCATATATGTCCACTGATGCCTGAAATTTCACTTGTGTGAGAGAAGCAACAATAGATCTGATTCTGGAACTTTGGTACACAAAAAATCTGTTCAAATCTTTCCAATATTGTGGCAAATGCACCTATTTGGTTATAGGACTGTAAATATGTTTGAATTAAAACCCTTCAAACCTTTCCTTTGAAGGAACTGGTACAATCACCCCTTGTGACTGAAGTTGTCGCAATGTGGCCAGTAAGTCTGCCTGTTTTTTTTACCTGAGGTAGGAAGTGAGGAGAAGGCAGAGATATAAATTCTGCTTTGTACCCCTTTTAAAACAACAGGTTGGACCCAGAGGTCCAGCATACTGAAGATGCAAACCGTTGCAAATGTTTTTAAACATTCTCCCACTCCTAAGAGTGGGCGTGCCCTTCATTGTGAGGGCTTCTTTTAGATAAACTCAGTGTGTTTAGAGAGCAAGGGTTTACGACAAAGGTACAGTTGTGACCAAAATTATTCAACCCCCACTGAAATTGAGTGTTTTGGCCAGTTTGACATTGCTTTTGATCATTCAGTCATCTTGCTTACATTTTTACATTAAAGAGGCACTTGTAGGTCAGACAAATATAACATAACAGTTATAATGAAATAACCACAAATGTCTTTTCTGTGCTCACAGCATTATCAGTTTTATTCAACCCCAAGTGACATTCAATCTTAGTACTTAGTACAGCATCCTTTTACAGTTATAACAGCTTTATAAAACGTGAAGCATAGCTTGACACAAGTGTCTTGCAGCGATCTACGGGTATCTTCGCCCATTCTTCATGGGCAAAGGCCTCCAGTTCAGTCACATTCTTAGGCTTGCGCACTGCAACTGCTTTCTTTAAGTCCCACCAGAGGTTCTCAATCGGATTTAAGTCTGGTGACTGCGATGGCCACTCCAAAATGTTCCCAGCCTTTCCTCTGCAACCATGCTCTAGTGGACTTGGAGGTATGCTTGGGATCATTGTCCTGTTGAAAGGTCCAACGTCTCCCAAGCCTCAGGTGTGTGACGGACTGCATCACGTTTCCATCCAATATCTCCTGGTACTGAAGAGAATTCATGGTACCTTGCACACGCTGAAGCTTCCCTGTACCTGCAGAAGCAAAACAGCCCCAAAGCATGATTGACCCTCCACCATGCTTCACAGTAGGCAAGGTGTTCTTTTCATCATAGGCCTTGTTCTTCCTCCTCCAAACATAGCGTTGATCCATGGGCCCAAACAGTTCTAATTTTGTTTCATCAGTCCACAGAACACTATCCCACAACTTTTGTGGTTTGTCCACATGGCTTTTGGCATACTGCAGTCGACTCTTCTTATTCTTTGGAGACAGCAAGGGGGTACGCCTGGGAGTTCTGGCACGGAGGCCTTCATTACGCAGTGTGCGTCTTATTGTCTGGGCTGAAACTTCTGTACCCACATCTGACAAATCTTTTCTCAGTTCCTCAGCAGTCACACGGGGACTTCTCTCCACTCTACGCTTCAGGTAGCGCACAGCAGTCGAAGTCAGCATCTTCTTTCTGCCACGACCAGGTAGCGTTTCAACAGTGCCCTTTGCCTTGAATTTGCGAATGATGCTTCCTAAGGTGTCTCTTGGTATGTTTAACATCTTTGCAATCTTCTTATAGCCATTGCCCTTCCTGTGAAGAGAAATCACCTCTTCTCTTGTCTTCCTGGACCATTCTCTTGCCTTCACCATGTTTGTAACCACACCAGTAAATGTCTAGAAGGAGCTGAGTATCACAGTCATTTTAAAGCTGCCTAATTGGTGCTTATTATGCTTGATTGCTGCTCGGTGACATCCACAGGTGTTTTCAATACCTGATGGAAAGCACCTGTATGAACCTCTGTTCTTCAGAGTGGTAGTCTTTAAGGGGTTGAATAATTGTGGCAATGAAGAAACCACATAAGAACCATTTACTACTGTATTACATAAACAATTGATGTCATTTTAGTTGCATTTGGGTAGTTACAACGTCCTTGTAGGATTTGATTCTGAATACAATTCCAAATGTACACTATAGTCCCTAAACCCCTTTACAGCATTGGGGGTTGAATAATTTTGGTCACAACTGTATTTGGCAAGCCTTGGTTTTAAGGTTGATGCCTACGTAGAGCGAATTCTCTTAGAGAATAGGAGACTTAGGCTTTTACTTATGGAAGGAGTGCCTTTCCCTTAGTGACTTCCTTAATGAATTTGTCAAAGGATTCCTGAAATAGGAGTAACTGTCAAAACGCAGGCATATAAAGCATTTCTTACAAGCAGGGTCAACAGACCAAGCTTTTAACCACAAAATTGTGTGCACCTGCAGAGAGATAAGAGGCATTCCAGAGACATGGATGTCCTGGGTCTGAAGAAGAGAAAGAATGGGTGATTTACATACAATATAGTGTCCACACAAAATGGTAAGGCTGAGGGCATCAGGTGCAATTGTCCTTAGAATTGTTCTTAGAACAAGGTCGTCAAAGACAGGCTCATGTTCTTCATTCATCTGTCTTGTTCAGTTTGCAATAGTTTGGCAATTAGACAGGATGGCAAAAGCCAGCTGCAGAGCAGGACCTGCAAGGGAAAAGGAGGCCTTTAATGGTTTTGTCCATAGGCATTTAGAGCCCCCTTTTAAAGGAGGGGAACATCCTTAAAGGAACTGTAAGGTGTTTATTAAGGATTGAAATTGCAGGATCTACTACCTACCAATTTCTTCTTAACCAGTTCAGCTCTTTGGACATACTATGTACGTCAAAGAATGAAAGCTTAAGCACAACCTGATGGTTGTAATAGCAGCCATCTGCTTGTGCACCATTTCTTCACCTGGCTTCTAGCTGTAAATCCCAGATGTAAAGTGAAGGTGGCTGTACAGCCACTGATCACTTTCACAGTGCAAGTGCATGCCATCTCCCCCCATCCCTGCTGGAGCCTGCCCAACCTCCTCTCTGTGTGTGGTGTCTGAGCTCTCCCGCACTTACCAGGAGCCCAGGACCATATCAGTAAGCTTCAGTATGGAGGTTGGGAGGAGAACAAAGAACGTCAGGTTTTTGGGTTCAGAGCCATTATTATCTGGCTGTATCAGCTAGAGAAGCATGTAACTGAGCATATCTCTGCTTGATTTCATGCTGTGGAGGGCAGCAGAGAGATTGGGGTCAGACCCCCAATGTCTCCATGAAGAGTACCTGTGACCTGTCCAATGCTATCACATGGGAGTTTGTTAACCACTTGTGATAGCAATAAAGTAAAAAAAGAAAAAGTAGAAAAAATATATATATTTATACTGTGTGTGTATATCTATATACCGTATTTTCCGGTGTATAAGGCGACTGGGTGTATAAGACGACCCCCTAATTTTACAGTTAAAACATAGCTTTTGGGCTATAGTTGTTGTATAAGACTACTCCCCTTCTAAGGCAACACCATTTAAAAACATCAGATTTTTAAATTGAAATGGTTATGACTTTCCGGTACTTAAAATCCTTCAAAATCCTTATGTTCATCCTCTGACATCATAAGTTCATGAATGACATCTTGTGATACATTTGTAAGACAGTCATCATATGGATCAAATTCCAAATCAGATGGTTACCGCTGGATGTGCGGTAATACGGTAGCTTCGGCTACATACAGTATACAGTATATATACAGCCCGCTGGATGTGCAGTAATGTACGTACAGTATACCACGCTGAGCCAAGCTGGCTCAAAACAAATGTCCCTATGAAAGATTAATCTGTCAGCCCGCTGGATGTGCGGTATATACAGTATACTGAGCCAAGCTGTTTCAAAACATACCGGTACTTCCCTACGGTACTCAGACCGCTGGATGTGTGTATGTACAGTAGCTGAGGCTACATACAGTATACGCTGGGCCAATCACGGCAAGCAATGTATATTACTAATGAATACAAAGCCTGCTCGGATTGGCTGAGGTTGTGACATCATCAGCCCACCTCTCTGACTCAGCCAATCCGAGCAGGCTTTGTGTTAATTAGTACAATACATCATTCGCCGTGATTGGCCCAGTGTATACTGTATGTAGCTGCAGCTACCGTACATAGATGCATCCAGTGGGCTGATTACAGTAGGGACGTACCGGTACGTTTTGAAACCGCTTGGCTCAGTGCAGTATACACCGCACATCCAGCGGGCTGACAGATTAATCTGTCATAGATGGGCACACCCTGGACACTTGTTTCCATTGGCGGGTGTGTGCAGGGCAGCAGGGGTTAGGTTTTAATTTTGTGTGTATGTACACACACACACACACACACACACACTATTTTCTGGCGTATAAGACTACTTTTTATACTTAAAAATATACCCCAAAAATTGGGGGTCGTCTTATACGCGGGGTATAAAATGTTAACCTTGAGTTTGTTTGGGTCAAGCTGGCTGGATGTGTGGTAATACTGTACATACAGTATACCGCGCTGTTTTGTTTTGAGCCAGCTTGGCTCAGCGCAGTATACTGTATGTACAGTATTACCACACATCCAGCCAGCTTGACCCAAACAAACTCAAGGTTAACATTTTATACCCCGCGTATAAGACGACCCCCAATTTTTGGGGTACACACACTTACTTAAAACCTAACCCCTGCTACCCTGCACACACCCGCCAATGGAAACAAGTGTCCAGGGTGTGCCCATGTATGTAAAACGCTATCTCACCACAAATGTGAGGTATTGCCATGAAGGTTGGAATGAGAGCAATAATTCTAGCACCAGAGCTCACAGTTTACTCTAAACTGTAAAGCCTTTTACAGTGTTGCCTATGGACATTTTAGGGTAACCGTTTTTCACGATATCATGGCCACACATAATTTTAACACTTGACATGTTTGGTAACTACAGTATTTACTCAAATCAACCTTACCTTTGATATTTAACTTTAAAAAAATATATAATGCTCTGGAGGTTTTCAAATTTTTACATGTGTGCAAAACAAATTGCAATAATGCCAAAGTTATTAAATTTATTTTCCACAGAATACATTTCAGTAAAAAGCTTGAGAGGCTTAAATATCTTTTCAGTTTTAGGCCAATCTTCATATAATATACAATCAATTTATGTGGAGATTGGAAAAAACTTTGATTTTGCCAGCCTCTTAGTGCCCACAGTAGGTTGTTTGGCCTGTGGAGACTCAGGTGCTTCTAGTACACAAGGCTATTTCACACTGTGTCAGTCAGTGGGTCTACACTGGAGAGGAACTGGTGAGAAGTGATAGTTTGTGTTTCATAAATTGCAGGAGTTGAAAAATCCTCTGCAGCTTTTGCTACCATATGTGTGTCCCCACCACTTTCCTCCATTGCATCCTCAAACTGGAGAGAAGCTCCATCTCTGATTCATGAAGAGTCAGGGGGGAGGTGTAGCATTTTTGGTCGCTGGAACCAAAGGTTCTAGGAATGATTAACATTTTTGGGAGAAATAATGGACGATAAAATCTGCTTTTGTTAGGCTGTATTAAGTGTGCCTCTGTCACAATAGGACATTGCTTCAGGATAAGGGAAAAGCTATCACCCTGAGTGGTGTTTTGAGTTTCCTGTAGGCCATCAGCAGATCACTTGTTGTTCTGCCATTTTGTCCTAGTTCCCTTGCTGTTGTGATCCACCATTGCTAGTGACGGGTCCCCAGCGGGTACTCACAGAGTGAATGTGAAAGGAATGAAGTTTTGCACATCCAGAATAGGAGCTGCTATAGCTCATGTACGGACTATTTTCAGTGGCTGTGCCTCTGTAGTGAGAGGTGGGAGTGTGTCGGCTAGGAGGTGTGTGCTAAGTACTATGTACTAAGTACTATGATTTTTTTCGTATAGCCATGAATGGCCTAAATTTCAGGGGAACTCTGTTTTTCCTTGTCCATGTTAATGGACCCATTCGCAGTCCAGGCTTCTTCTGTCATGTTAGGCATACCCCTGAAGGGGTCTTTAAGGTCTGGGAACCGTAGAGGTGGACCTGCAAAGCTTCCTGCAGCTTACTATTCCTTACAACAATGTACCAAGGTGAGTGCCGATCTAGTGCACAAAGCAAACATTACAGGCCAGCCCCACACAGTGGGGTCTGAGTACAGTCCCCAAGGTAAACATTGAGGGCTACCAATCCCAAAACTGCTACATAGACCTGGGCAATAAGCAGGGAATATTTGGCTGAAGTATCTGAAGAAAAAATGGTTGGAAAAAAAAAAACTTCTCCAAAGGAGAAGTGGTGCAACACCTAAGGACATTAGAAAAAGACTCGAATCTCATGTAATGAGGGGCTATATGAGCTATATGAGCATGCTCTGCAGATGGCCCTAGCAATGTTCTTTGCCATTGTCCAATAACCTGGAGGCAGCCTTCAATTAACATAGTCTATGACTACAGCTCATTGTCGTGTACTGTACAATTAAGATAATATATTTTAATTGCGTACAGTTTAGGTAGCACTACCATTAAGGGAGGATTCATAGCAATCTGATGTTACATATTGGCTCCAGTCATAAAGATCATTCCCTGTTTACGTCTGTAAATGTCACAGGTCAGTGGAGAGGTCGTCAGGAATTAAATCTTGTCTCTTCTCATTTGAAGAAATGGCTTTTTTTCTGCACTGCAGACCCACAGGATCACCATAAACATCATCATCCACATTTATAAAAATCAACCCATGGCCACCCATTGGATATGGAAAATATTCATGGTCTAGTTCAGTGACACGGATGAGGAATTCATTTTATGTACAGAAATGTGTTCGCCGAGTCCTGTGCTCTCTATACAACAATAGTAACATTCATTAATACTCTCTAGTAGTTAGACAATTTCTTCCACTTGATAAACCAATACTGTAGAGAGAGCAGAAATATACAGATTGGGGGGTTCTGCACACTCCACATCATGGCTGTGTCTGGAAGATATTGTCAATTCTGAATCCAGACAAGGAAATAAGTTCAGCTGGGATATTAATTTATATCATTAAAATAAAATTCAACCACTGGTTTATTTTGTTTATTGGGGGAAAATAGAGCAGGTAGTATGAGCATATCAGGATGAACTCACTCTGCTATGCTTCTCCTCTTGCTGTTGCCTGTCAGGAGACTGGTAATATGAATGGTAGAAACAGGTAGAGCAGCACAAGTAGGAAATCAAAGAGGGAACCCAAGGGGCAGATATAGGGATAGAAAGCATTTTTCCATCACATGATGAGACAAATAAATATTGCCATTTGTTTCAGGGGATATCCAGTACAGAAACATCTACAAGATCCCACTCAGTAATTTAGTGGGAAGAAGCATCGAGCGTCCTCTGAAGTCCCCGATGGTCCATAAGGTCATCACGACCCCAACGTCCAGTGGTATCGCTTGCATACCTGTCACCCACTCCCTGTCACTGTCCCGCATGGAGATAAAGGAGATTGCATGCCGGACAAGGAAGGAATTACTGGGTAATAATCTATAAAATGCACTTTAAGCTCTTTATTCCAATAAACTTGTTTCCAAAATGTTTTTGAAAAATTTGTGCAGACTCCACAGCAAATGGACAGAGAATTTCAGTCAGTATAAACACACAATTTGATTTTTCAGATCATAAATGACAATACAGTGATGATCTAATCATCCATAATTGGTGCAAGACTTGTTTGGCCATGTATGTTTTGTAGGAAATGAGCAAAATGCAACAATCATCTCTCAGCCTTTCTCCATAGCTTCTGCAACAGATATCACTGCCTTCCAATGTTGTAGAAAGGTTGACCATATCTGGTTGATTATGTCACCACTGTCATTGCCCCTTCCCTTATATACCTGAAAGCTTAGGAAACGATGTCTGGGGGACCCCTTATTGTTAAAGGTGGCTTCCAGATCCTGGTAAACCCCCCACCCACAGCCCCTCCACAAACATTGGCCAGGGTTGTAGGGAAGATGCCCTTGTCCTCATCAACATGAGAACAAGGTGCTTTGCCAGGGAGGTACCTCTCCCTTCCATGCTGAGGTTCTGTGGCCTGGTATAGTTCAGGGGTGGGAGGCACACACAGTGTAGTGGATTGTGATAGACAGTCCACGTTTTATTAGATGATCAGTAAAATGACAATTTTATAGTCTTGCTACTTTCTGCTTCTTGCGCTTTAAAATTCCTTACCCTCTTAAGTAAACAATCAGATATAGATTGACAGAACAATGATGATAATTAAGATGGCGCCTTCATCCGGAGTCTCACCCTAGGTGACTCATTAGGAGAAAAGTATCTTTTAATGTAAACAACCCCCATAAAAGGGAATGAGTCTCTTTGGGGACAATGATTGGAAGATATCAACACGGATGGAAGAACACACAGAAACCCAGTGGACTTTTCACCCAATCAATGTATATGCTTTGCCTGCATCATAAGCCCTATAAATGATACTGTTAGTTCCTCAATAAAACAGAATTTTTAGGAAGTTGACAAACTGCAACAGTGTCAGTGTTTTGCTTCCACGTGCACGTAATTCTATATTAATTTGGCTCACTGGTAGATCACGGTAAATGGTCTGTAAGTGACCGAGTCCAAAAGAGCAGCCCCTCATTCCTTTTTTATGGACAGTCAGGCTGCATGCTTGGATTTAGGATGTGGTATGGATTTCCTGGGGGACTTCATACATTTTTTTTTTTATTAGGAACCCCCTCAAAATCTATATCAGACTAAAAAGGGTCTGTTGTGCATTTTGGGTGTGACGCTGTGCAGTTTTTTTTTTTTCTCATTCTTGCTACAGCAAGATTAAGGGTATGGTATGGACTTCCTGGGGGACACATTTTTTCTGCATTAGGATCCCCCTTAAAATCCATATCAGACTAAAAAGGGTCTGGTGTGTATTTTGGGTGTGGCTCTATTCACATTGTGTTCTTGCTGTAGGATGTGCTAAAGGCAAAAGTGACATATACACAGAAAATAAAGTGATGTAGAAAAATGGCAACCATCTTGATTTATAACTAGCTTTTACAGCACATCACAGTACAAAGAAATAGAAAAAAAACCCCAAAATGAAACTGTTTAAGAAGTTGCATTAAAAATAGATGTTTTTATTGCACAACATTTGCACATATATGTGGAAGCCATACTGCCTCCTCAAGACTCCTCTGTAAAGTGTATTCCTAACTTAATATTTGAGTCTCCATATTGGAGCACATAGAGCAATTGATTAATTAGGGGGAGGTATGCCTGGAGGCACCTTGTTCCTCCTTTAAGGTGCTTGACACACGATAAGCCCAGCGGCAGCTGAAGGCGCTCAATGTGTCCCCACACCAATTCCATTACGCACGCTATACAAAAATGGCAACCACCCCAATTTACTAATTTAAAATTATTTTTTTCAGATAAGGGGTTGGTATGTATTTTGGGAGACCTTTGGGGTCTGTGTGCTGTTTTTTTCTTTTAAAAAAATCACTTTTAAGAAAGAAGCCAGGATGGAAATGTCATTTGCTGGCAATTTACAACTTTTTCCTTTGTATATGTCAGTGCTTTAAAAAAAAAAAAAAAATCACTGCTCCCACACCAAATGGAATTATTATTTATTTTTTTTTTTTTTGCATTGATGCATGTTCTCTAGCGCAGCGCCCACCAAAAAATGACCACCCTAGCCTACTAGCCCAGAAAATGGGCTTTTTTTTATTTTACAGCTTATGCTTTTCATTGCTTCCAATTTTCATTTGGGTTTAGCTTCTAAAATTCTTTGACATTCGCTGAACCCTGCTCGAACTAAACCTAGGGCAGTTCAGTTTATCCCAACTCCTTTATATATCTGCAGAACGTCTGGAGGAATGTCCCTAATTCAAATCTTATGTGGCATGGTGGTAAGGTTGGGATTTGGCTGCAGAACTAATGGGCGCTTTTCTAATTTGTTTGTGGTCTTTCTCATATTCAGGTCTTACTGGTGACACAAAGTCTGAAGGGTCACAGCGGCAGAAGAAATTTGCAAGAAAAGCAGTGGAAGAAGAGACTAAAGAAGAAGCTGTTCGATCAACCAGCACTGAAAGGTAAATAACAGCCTGACATTATACATGTCTTTTCTCACTGCTGGTGGAAAGATTTTCAACCTGTAGCACCTTCTGGAGCAGATTGCTGTGCCAGATGTTCGAGATGGGTAGAGACTGCCTGTCAACTCCTCAGCAAAAATTCACTGACATAATGTTCAGTTTGAGGTCTTCACAGTAGATATGATGGTATCAAGTGGGGCTAAAAAAAATTGTTGACAGATACTTTCTTTAACTGTGCTTTTCCCCCATGGATTTAGCTCTGCTTCCAAGACTTTCTGGAGCTTTTAAAGTGATATTAAACCCTCAGTTTCAGCAGCCAATTGAATCACTTACTGAGTATTGCTTGTTGAAAGCAGATTTATAGCTCACTGACTATGTAAGGAAACACAAAGCTGCAGGGTCCTTATCTACTAAATTCAAAATCTTACCCATTGATGGAACTAGAGGATCTACTTAAGTTTTGTTGCAAAGGCAAGGAAACTTTCCCAAACTCTAAAACAAGCTATAATCATGGACTGTGTTCTTACTGACACAAGAGTTAAAATCATAATGTCTGGCAAGCCCTGTTGCATAAACTTCTCAACCTCCAGGCTGCTAATCTCAATCTGTTTTCATTTAGATGACATAGAAGGCGTTGATGTAAAAAGTATGTTTTCAACAACAAAACCAAGGATTAGGCTAGCAAGGCCAACATGGGTTGATGACAATAGCCTTAACTTTTGTACCTCCTCTTGAATTATTAGAAGTACCTTCTAGATCAGCAGTACTGGTATAAATACATAAACTAAAGGGAACATATAAGGAACAACATTCACAAGGTCTTATTGGATTAAAAAAAAGCAGTGTTCTATCCTCGCTACATGTTTCCCTGTGTGTAACTCAACATGCAGGTAAACCCTCCTATTCTGCAATAAACCAGACTGAGTGTAATCTTGAAGCTTAATTAACAGAACGGGGTGGGTGAAACTATTAGGAAAACAGATCAGATGTACATTTGATCAATATATGAAATATAGAAAAACAATTAAATGATTAGGCTGTAAATGGCAATAAGTCCATGCTCACCAGGGATGCTGTCTGTAAGGGATGTAAGTTCAGTCCATGACATGTGCTGCAGAAAATTATGGTAGGTTCCTTTCCCTCAGTTCTTAAAGCAGAGCTCTAGTCAAGAGGAAGTTCCACTTTAAGGCCTCGTCACCTGCTCCCAGTTAAGGTTTGGCATCTTTTGGGAGCAGGTACCTGATTTTGACAGGTATCCACTCCCACTTCCAATGCAATCGCCTAGGCGTTTGGATGCGGAAGTTGTCTCCTCTCCGTAGTCTTCTGGGACATGTGACAGGTCCCAGAAGACCATGGGACCATTCACAAGGCGCAGCGCTACTTGAGCATGCACAGTGGGCACCCGGCTATGCCAGTGTTGGGGAGAGAGGATGGCCAGTGAAACCGGCTGCAGTGAGGATACTGCTGGATCAAGGGACAGGTGCGTGTCTCTTTTTTAAAAGTCAGCAGCTACAGTTTTTGTAGCTGGTGACTTATTTTTTTACATTTTGACTGGAGCTCACCTGCCTCCCCTTCTCAGAATGAAGGATGATGGGAGCTTTCATTAACCAAATACATACATTCAGTTTTTTTACAAAACCATACATTTATTCCGGTGTCCATCTAGTTGCCAAATTTAATATTGCAGGTTGAATTGTCCTGCAGGAGGCAGATCAAGCAGAGCTACCTAGAAGTGCATAAATCTATAAATTGTCCCTGCCCTTAATACTGCCTCCCAAAGAGTACACGAAGATTTACTTAAAGTGCTAATCCATAACCAAATAAAGTGCCTAAATATGAGCTAACTGGACCTTCATAAATAAAGTGCATTGAAGTAAACATATAAATGGGCCTTGGGAATCCTAATCAAAGTGCAGAATTAATATGAAACCTGTATTATAAAGTACTAATTAATATATTGATAATCATAAACCTCTATGTAACTTTACAACTTCTCCAACAAAGTGCAACCTGGATACCTCTTGCATCCCACCATACAAATAAAATGAAAAAATAAAGCAGCTAGAACAACATGGCAAACCCTCTGTCTCCACCAAAACAAACACTATACTATCAATGTGCTAATAATCTTGGTGCTAATAAAAATGTGTGTTATAATCAATGAGGACTAGTGTGATCATAAAAGAGAAATGAAACATCATAAAAAAGAAATAGAGAATAGTGAATACTCCAATGAAGAAACAAAATAGACGGCTTAACAAATAACAAATGAAAATAAATAAGTCCTCTAAATATCATAATAGTCCTAAAATAGTGATGTGAGCCCGGAGACAGTATCATATAGTGTAGTATGTTTTATTAAAAAGATAGCAAGCACGTGGAGCATAAAATCATCAATGGATAAAAAAGCACTTACAAAGATGGCCGCCGGACCATCACGTGGACACGGCGGCGTGACGTGAGCACGTAGGCTCCTCTCTGATGCGTTTCATGCGCATGCACGCACATTCTCAAAGGGATCCATCGTCACATTGATATTACAGTGTCTATGGGAATGTTTGACCATTCTTCCAGAAGCGCATTTCTGAGGTAAGGCACTGATGTTGGATGAGAAGGCCTGGCTCACAGTCTCCGCTATATCGGGTTGAGGTGTGCAAGCCAGTCAAATTCCTCCACCCCAAACTCTCCCATCCACATCTTTATGGACCTTGCTTTGTGCACTGGTGCGAAGTCATGTTGGGACAGAAAGGGGCCATCCCCAAACTGCTCCCACAAACCTGGGAGCATGAGATTGTCCAAAATGTCTTGGTATGCTGACGCCTTCTTAAGAGTTTCCTTCACTGGAACTAAGGGGCCAAGCCCAACCTGTGGAACAACCCCACACCATAATCCCCATCTCCACCAAACTTTACACTTGGCACAACGCAGTCAGGCAAGTACCGTTACTCTGCCAAACCCAGACACGTCCATCGGATTGCCAGACAGAGAAGCATGGTTCGTCACTCCAGAGAACACGTCTCCACTGCTCTAGAGTCCTGTGGCGGCATGCTTTACACTTGATGATGTAAGGCTACTTGGCCATGGAAACCCATTCTTAGAAGTTCTCTACGCACTGTTGTTGTGCTAATCTGAAGGCCACACGAAGTTTGGAGGTCTTTAGCTATTGACTCTGCAGACAGTTGACGACATCTGCACACTGTGTACTTCAGCATGTGCTAACCCCGCTCTGTCATTTTACGTGGCTTAGTTGCTGTTGTTCCCAGTTGCTTCCACTTTGTTATAATACCACTAACAATTAACCGTGGAATATTTAGTAGCAAGGACATTTTACGGATGGACTTACCGCACAGGTAGCAACCTATCACAGTACCACGCTTGAAATCACCGAGCTCCTGAGAACGACTCACTCTTTCACAAATGTTTGTAGAAACAGTCTGCATGCCTAGGTGCTTGATTTTATACCATGGAGGTAATTTGAACACCTGAATCCAATGATTTGGAGGGGTGTCCCAATACTTTTGGCAATATAGTGTATATTAGGTAATGATAAATAATAAACCAAAATAGCAGTACAATGATCTAATCAAAAATAATAGTTAGAAAGTGGAACCAGCAATTATTTTCAAATATAAATGAAATAGGACTAACTGTCTAAAAATGCAGCGTAGGAAACTCTCAGTAACTCTGCAGCATATGACAAAGGCTATGCAGATTGAATATCTGGTTGTAGAGAGATCACATGAACAAAGCGCAAAGTGTACCTTGGCATGTATTGATTTAGAATACCATACACAGGACATCCAATAAACTTAGAATCTATCTGAGGTCATGAACAAATGTTCTCTACTTTGTCATATATACCCAGCTAAACCATTAACTAAAAGCTGAACTTAGCTTTGGGGATATTTTGAAGAGAATCCTCGCCCCAGAGAATTGAAATGAAGATAATTTATACTGCGGTTAAATTATTTCACATCAACTCCGGTGCTAACCATAATCAATATCAGACTAAACAGTTTAGCTGGAAGTGAGCACAAATTGTCTACAGAAAAATGAAAGTTATACGTTGCCAATATACAGGTGAAACTCGAAAAATTTGAATATTGTGCAAAAGTTTATTTATTTCAGTAATGCAACTTAAAAGGTGAAACTAATATATGAGATAGACTCATTACATGCAAAGCAAGATCGTTCAAGCTGTGATTTGTCATAATTGTGATGATTATGGCTTACAGCTCATGAAAACCCCAAATCCACAATCTCAGAAAATTAGAATATTGTGAATTTTCGAGTTTCACCTGTAGATTCTATAGTATCAGTGATTTCAGGTGTCCGTCCCTTGTCTACTGTCTTGTGTATCGTATCTGACCGTCTTCTAACTTTTATCACCCCAAAAAACCTAGGCGGGCACAGCTTATCTCGTCTAATTATGATATCACTCAATGATCCTAATTACCTGAAGGAGGCAGTATAGGATTAGGAATAATGTAGGATTTTCCTAACACCTCCTGCACCATGTCGAGAGTTGACTTCTAACTCTTAGCTTGTAAGAAGACTCTAAATTTAAGAGATATCTGCTCTTTTGACAGGAATGTTTAGACTGGACCAGCACTTAAAATAATGTATTACCTAAGTGATTCTAGAGAAAAAAAAAAAAATACTACGTATACATCTTACAGACATTGGTTGAGGTAATTTGTACTGAGATTTCTTAATTATCTAACTTCTTCTGTAGCATACAGATGTTGTAACACATTAAATTCAAACTAAAGTGGTTCTAAAGACTCAAGGTTTTTTACCTTCATGCATTCTATGATCTGAATCTCTTTCTTTACTAGGATTAATTCAGGCTCATTTGAAAGTAACTCGGAAAGTCAGCGCCATTGTTCTACTAGTTCTGACCCAGAATCCAACATCAGTGTGGAGGAGAGCCCCCCGTTTAGCAGTAGTCCTTTCCACATGGCGGAGTCCTTTGATGAAGACATTGTCGACTTAAAGTGACGACAATCTTTGTTACCCTGCACCTTATCCATCCTCTTCCCTTACACGTCACTGGAATGTCACAACACAGCTGCGTGTGATGGAGTACCTGAAGCAAGGAGATGGCAGTCTGTTCACAAGAACTACTGAACAATGCGGCCATAAACACCATCACTCTCTTCACTGAGGTTCATGAACTGCCATTGCTGACAAACAGACTGAATCATCTGATCTATAACCATCCTTTATTTACAATGTGGCATGCTATAGCCTCTCTCCCTGTAGCGACTACTATGCAGGGTGACAGGTCACCTCTGATCGCAAAGTGAAATGTTCAGTTCAGCACTTAAAGTCATAGAACATCAGTAGGTTATGGAGATGTGGGAGATTTCTAGATGGCTGTTTCCTGTCATTTACATTCTAATCAGAAATTTTACCTCCGTACACTGAACACTGGAAATCAATCTGGACCTGACGCCATCATCTGTCTATGAAACCCTAGCACCGTAAACACAAGAGCCATATATGAAGATATCACTTGTACAGCATTCTGGAAATGTCACAGCTGTCACCTCTATTCCATGCATGGTGATAAGCTGAGACACTGCATACAATTGAGACCTGTTGGAAACAGCTTCCACAAACCATTAAGGCCCCATGCACACTAGCATTTTGTAAGCTCCTAGAAGCGGTTATCAGCATTTTTTTTCTGCTCCTAGAAGCTAAGTAGTGTTATCCTGTGTGTCCATGCACACTATTTTAGGCTAGTAGCGTTTTTCAAGTTTCAGTGTTTAAGAGCAGAAAAAAAACATTGTTTTGGTAGAGTTTTTGGGAAAAGCTGAACACTCCTAAAAGCTTTTTTGTTTCTGCACGTACTGTAAAAACGTTAACAGAATGCAAAGGATCCTAAAAAAAGGAAATTACCAGTGTTTTTTAGCTTAAAAAAACCCCCCCACTAGTGTGCATGGAGCCTAAAGTTGAACTCCAGGAAAATTTCTGTCCATCCATCCCTGAGAATTTACACATGCCTGCCACACAAAACATACAAGATAGATGATACTACTTTCTTTGTAACAGTTACAGATTATAAAAGAAATACATTGGTATCTTCTCTCTACCCTATGCTGCTAACTGGGCAAAGTAGGAAAAGCAGTAAACTGATGAGGTAATCTTTCCCTTCAATCTGCTGTCTCCTCCCAGCAGCTTTATAGTCAGCAGAATTTTTCATTTTATTTTTTAATTAATTTTAAGTACTTTTATGGCTCCATCAATTTACACAGCGCTTTACACACACACACATATATATATATATATATATATATATATATATATATATATATATATAGTACATTCACATCAGTCCCTAACCCTCAAGGAGCGTACAATCTAAGGTCCCTAGCTCACATTCATACATACACATACTAGGGCCAATTTAGACAGGATCCAATTAACCGACCAGCATTTCTTTAGAGTGTCAGAGGAAATCAGAGTACCCAGAGGAAACCCACGCAGGCACTGGGAGAACATGCAAACTACAGGCAGGTGGTGCCGTGGGTGGAATTCAATGACCCTTCTACTGCCAGGTGGAAGTGCTAACCATTTAGCCACTGTGCTGCCCTGTTGTATACAACATACCTTGCTGGCTCCCAGTGCTATCCCTTGATCTCATAATCTGGGTGCTGCTATACAGGGAGATTGCTAGAGGTTGATACAAAATTAAATTTGGGTAATTTCACTAGCTGTGCTTGGGAAAAAAAATATCGGTGAATAAAGAGCTGCATTAATGTGTATCTTTTATATATTCCTGGAGTTCAGCGTTAAAATGTTGATTTATCTCTATGCAGGACATTCAAACGTCAAGTTTCTATGGGGATGTTTAGATAATATGTCTGAGCACTAATCTCCAATATAGTTCTAGGAAAGTTTGCTGGACAGAAAGAACAGAGGGAAGACCTGTCCTTAAAACAAAAAAACAGTTGGAACAGGCCTAAATACAGATGGACAGACCAAACTGGTAGATAGGCTGCACTTACAGACAAGTGGAACAGTGAATAACAAGTGCTTAAACACAGAAAGCCAGACAAAGCAAGCAGAAGACCTGTGCCTACAAGACCATTGGAACAAGCAGATGCCCTATCCTTACAGACAGATGGAACAAGCAGAAGACCTGCGTGTACAGAGAGAAAAAACAAGCAGAAGACCTGCGTGTACAGAGAGAAAAAACAAGCAGAAGACCTGCGCTAACAGACAGATGGAGCAAGCAGAAGACCTGCATGTAGAGAGATGGGACAAGCAGAAGACCTGCGCTTACAAACAGATGGAGCAAGCAGAAGACCTGCGCTTACAAACAGATGGAGCAAGCAGGAGACCTGCGCTTACAAACAGATGGAGCAAGCAGGAGACCTGCGCTTACAAACAGATGGAGCAAGCAGAAGATCTGCGCGTACAGACCTGATGGAGCAAGCAGAAGACCTACGCTTACAGAGAGATGGAGGAGCAAGCAGAAGACCTGTGCTTACAGAGAGATGGAGCAAGCAGAGACCTGCGCTTACAAACAGATGGAGCAAGCAGGAGACCTGCGCTTACAAACAGATGGAGCAAGCAGGAGACCTGCGCTTACAAACAGATGGAGCAAGCAGAAGATCTGCGCGTAAGATAAATGGAGCAAGCAGAAGACCTACACTTACAGATAAATGGAGCAAGCAGAAGACCTACGCTTACAGAGAGATGGAGCAAGCAGAAGACCTGTGCTTACAGAGAGATGGAGCAAGCAGAAGACCTACGCTTACAGATAGATGGAGCAAGCAGAAGACCTACGCTTACAGATAGATGGAGCAAGCAGAAGACCTACGCTTACAGAGAGATAGATGGAACAAGCAGAAGACCTGCGCTTACAGAGAGATAGATGGAACAAGCAGAAGACCTGCGCTTACAGAGAGATAGATGGAACAAGCAGAAGACCTGCGCTTACAGAGAGATAGATGGAACATGCAGAAGACCTACGCTTACAGATAGATGGAGCAAGCAGAAGACCTACGCTTACAGATAGATGGAGCAAGCAGAAGACCTAGCTTACAGATAGATGGAGCAAGCAGAAGACCTACGCTTACAGAGAGATAGATGGAACAAGCAGAAGACCTGCGCTTACAGAGAGATAGATGGAACAAGAAGAAGACCTACACTTACAGAGAGATAGATGGAACAAGCAAAGACCTACGCTTACAGAGAGATAGATGCAGAAGACCTACGCTTACAGAGAGATAGAAACAACAAGAAGACCTGCACTTACAGAGAGATGGAACAAGCAGAAGACCTGCACTTACAGACAGATGGAACAAGCAGAAGACCTGTGCTTACAAGAAAATAGGCAGATGATCAGTGCTTATGAACACATAGAAGAAGATAGCCTATGGTTAGGGACAGTTGGAACCAGCAGATGACCTTTGCTTCCACATACATGGATAGACAGAGCAGG